CGAAGGCTCCGTAATTTCCGTGCGTAACAGGCTCTTTCTCTGACCCTGTATTGTGTCGTACAAAAGCTACTGTCTCTGGGGTAGTCTCAAATCATATCTAGCAAGTATGTTTCAACTCTGAATGACTGCTCCAGCAAGTCCCCCATCCTGCCGAGTTGAAGGCGTTCTTGTCGTCCAGTGTGACTAGCAGCACTATTGGTCGCACCTGGTGGCAGGCTTCTTCGGTTTTATGTAATTGCTCTTATACTTGAGCGTCCCGGAACGATGAAGGAGAGTTTGGGTCCCCCTTGCCCTTGGGTGTAAGCACTACCCTCGCCTTCTTCCACTGGCTTGGGAAGACCCGGGCCATAAGGAAGCTGTTGTACATGTTAAGCAGGAAATCAGGGCTCGTTATCGCTGCCAACCTGATTGCCTCCGCTGGTATGCCGTCGGGCCTGGAGCCTTGCCGGCTTTCAAGCTTCGCAGGGCTAACTTCAGCTCGTCTGCCGAAAACAGCGGTGCCTCGGCTTGCTGCCCGACGAACACTGTATTTGCGCTTAGTGGGTGTGTGGGAAATAGTGCATCCAATATATTCTTAATTCGTACTTCATCCAACACTTGCGATGGCGTACGGAACTTTTTCATGACTATTTTGTATCGCTGGCCCCAGGGATCACAATCCACTTGTCACATTACGCTTTCCAGCAGTTCCGTTTACTCTTCTGTATCTCGGCCCCAAGTGCTTTCTTAGCGCTTTTTTAGACTGCTGGGCCCTATTACACCGACGAATTATCATTAGCATTTTAGCAAATTATCGAACTTGCGCAAAGTTTTGTGTTTCACCAACAAGATAAGGAAAAGTCACTCAATTGAGTATTGATAAGTAAAATATCACGCAAAATAATAGATAAGCGTTACACCAAAATTTGAAATGCTTAGCGAAAAGATTTTAGCGGATAAGTTATGCAAATTATCAAAATTTATTAGCATTTCGTTGCAACCAAAATTTTTATTTATCACTTGTCATTTTTCATTTTGCTAACTCTAGCATTATTTTGCTTAAAATAATTTTACCTATCATTCCAGTGATAACTTACATTTATTCAGTCGGAATGAATTAATCAGTGCTTTAACACGTGATTCGATAAAATATTGACACAAAAACTGCTTCGGTTCGAAAAATTAAATTTATTAGAGGAAAATAAAACGCGTGTCATAAAAGAACAAATCAACCACAGTTTATATATTGGTGTAGTAGAAAAATTTCGGCTATCTCGTAGCCAAATTCAAAAAATGTTATTAAAAATTAGAGCGAACCTATAATATAACAGTGAGCGTAATAACGGCACGGTCAAATGCATAGGGTCCACAAATTAGCGCTATGTAGAGTAATCCATCGAGTGGCAAATGCCGTGATAAATAAATGTATGGATGAAACTATTTGTTGGATGGAATTTACGCAAAATATTGTCACACAATTTTTCAACATTGGTGGATTTCCTTATGTTGCAGGATGCATTGATAGAACTATGATAAACATAGACGCCCCTAAGGTTAATGAGTACCAATTTGTCAATCGGTACGGAAATCATTCAATTAATGCAATGTGGTTTTTGTGTTTTTGTTCTGAATTATTTTGGAAAGATCCAAATAAATAACCCTAAATAGAAAAATATAGTTATTTATATCAACATACATATGATGGTTAAGACGGACTTACTTTTTTCCTTAATAATTTTAAGACAGCTAATTTATTGGCTTTGCTTTGTGCGCGCGACATAGTACGAAAAAAGAGAGGTTGAAAATGTTTACCAAATCACACATGGGCTTGCTAAGTCTCGTTTTCCATTAAGAAACTGTAATCATTTTAGCTAAGCACATTCTCGAAAATATCTCTATTTGAAAAGCAAAAGAAATTAGCTCTGAAATGGCTATCAAATCGACTTATCCAAAAAACTTGTCAGTTACTCATTTTTTTATAAGTTGAAAAGTTTTTTTTTGATAAGTAAAAAGTGCAACCCTTATCAACATTACTTTTCAGAAAAGGCTTATCCAAATGATGTAAAGTGATAAGTGATAAGCCGTTGGTGCAATTGGGCCCTGGTCTGCTCAGCGCATCAGGTCTGCCACGAGCACGCGTTGCGAGTATGTGCATTCTATGGCAGGCCTTTCGCAGCTCTGCAGTTCGGTCATTCCACCAGTACACCTGCTTTTTACCTGGCCATGCTCTCCTCTGCGGCATTGAGGCTTTGCATGCCCGGTGTATGCAGCGCATGGTTTCTTCGACCAGATTAGCACAAGATTCCCTGTTAGGATCTCTCCCGTTGTGAGTGAAATGCCTTGGGAATCTTCTAGGAGTTATGTGTCGAACTTGCGAATATCGACAGTAGACGGGTTCCACCCTGGTTTCCTGCGAGGCATGTTACGTGTTTGCTCTCGCGTTGTGTCACTGACTTGGAAGGTGTTGTAGTTATGGTCGCTGCCAGTCAAGTATTTCATCACTCTCTATGCGTTAGCCCTTCAAAGAACGCTTTCCCAAACCCGGGGTATGTCAGGGATCGAGTATCCAAGACTCATCTTCAAAGCCTTCGAGCTTTTACCTGAAGACAAGTACTGTGTCATTTGGAGACAGGTAGTAGCTCAACAGAGTGATTTGCGCCACTTTCACTCAGACGTAGCAACGTCCGACCTGCTCTCGCTGCTCTCTGCGCGATGGCGTTAGCAATCCATATCGCGGCCGAGCCTGATTGGTCAACATGCCAGATTTCCTTTGTTCTATAGGGTTCACTGACGATGACAGCGTCTGCTCTTTGTTCAAGAACCAATTGGTCCAGCAGGTCATCAGCTACCCTACTCCTACTCATATTTCCTTGTATAAATTTAATCATATTTGCCCAAGCTTTGTCTTAGCCTCAGCAAGGGCATCTCTGGAGGCCTTTCACGCTCCCGACACGGGCAGGTGATTGGAATTTTTTCGACCATCTTCCGCCGAGCACAAGTAGCAGCTTACTAATGGTCCTTCTGACGACATTTGCAGTATGAACTGCTTCTGCCTGGACCTTTGCATGCCGCCTTTTGTAGCCATATCTCAGACAACGAAAACACCTTTGGACATCCGTAGCTCTCGAACCCGGCAGATAATTCAACCTACTCCCAACTTCCCCATTGCAATAAGAGTCCGGCCAGCAGTTCGTACACGTTCTACCACGGCCATTTTTTGTTCTCGCGAGTTTACATGGAGGAGAGAGACGCGGACTTGGCCATTCATCTTATCTCCTAATTCCCCGCGTATAGCGTTCTCCACTTCTGGGAACATGGTTAGACTGTCCATGCCCAGAACTTCTAGACGTAAACATCTAGTGAGGATACGGGCATTTCCAAGCTGACCAATGGCAGTGCGCACATTTTCCTTAAATGCTGAGTGGTCGACACAGCACCACTTTCGCGGTTTTTCCGAACAGATTGAATTACGGTCGCTAGCCCTGGCTTGGGCTTTCTGCGTTTATCAACCGTTATCCATTGATTATTTGGGGCAGTTTTCTGCGCTTGCCCGATCGATGTCGAGCCCTCTTGTGTGGGTCAGGGCCAGTTTTCCGCAGCTCGGAATTGGTAGACCTTTTCCGGCGTTGCTCTCGGAGATTGCATAGTATATTAAAGCTCTCCCCGATTTGGGCCATACCCGCTTTTATATCCATGGACACATTTTCTGCTTGGAAACATCACTCTGCATCTTATTCAAGACGAGCCGCATCTGGGCCAGTTGCTCATCTTCAATACCTTCGCAAGCTCCCAAGCTTGTGGTGACGTGCTTGTCGTTGTTTGTAGGACCTGGTGTTAGATGACGACCATCCCGGCTGCCGGGAGTTGTCGTTTGGGAAGATATAGCCTTCTGCGCCACGTCGGAAGCTTTCCCCGTGCTCGTGGTGCGCGCCTTTGCCTGCAGAACATCTACGCCGGTTTCATTTCTCAGTTTTCGTTTTAGTTTGTTCATTTCAATTGGGTAGGGATGTAGCAGATTAGTGCATTTGTAGCGAAGTCTGTTATAGCTACGGAGACCAGATTTCTGTGGACAAAAATCGGGACATTTTTAAAGCATCTAATCTGACCATACAGTTTTGTTTGTAGAATAAAAAGGCATAACGTATTTAATTCAGTTTTATTTAAAACAAAACAAAGAGAAACAAACTTGAAAATTATCGCAAAAATTTATACATACAATATGGCTGCGTTTCTTTATACATTCCGGATAATCCCATTTCACAACCGGAATAAACAGAATGCGTTTGAAATATACGTCAACATATCATCAGGAACGTTCTAAACAAGGTACATTGAAAAGGTAGTATCAGTAGAGCAGCTGATTTGATTTATTTTCAAATTATTTGGTCTCGAAAATGTCAAATATTTTTAATTTTTTCTTACAAAAATTCTGAATTGTTAAAATCCATTTGCATGTGAAACCTTTTTCCATACAAAACAAGCGATTGAATAGCAGCTTTTGGAACGTTCGCCCAACTCAGCAGCACAACCGCTGATTACTGGCCCTTGTAAAGGATGGATCAATGCATCGAGAAGCAAACAAATTTACTAGGAAAGAAAGTTGCATCAATTTTTATTTTTTCCAATTTCAATTTTTTATTTTTTATAATTTTTTGTATTTCACATGGCAAGCTTTGATTTAGAAGAAAAAATTCAGAACAGTTTTTGACACTTTCGATACCAGAAGCAACAACAAAATACACGCAAATGTTGTTTTTGCTCTACTGATACTACCTGTTTAATGTGCCTTGGTTCTAAAGAAGAAATAAACAAAAAAGTTTATTCCAAACGTTCAGAATGAATAAAGAAATGCAGCCTATATGTATGTATGCGTATAGCTTATATTTTTCATATCCATGAATGTTTTAGGAAATTAGTATCTTTTTTTATAATTTTTCCAAACTCAAGTCAGTGTCGTTTTATTAAAAAAAAAAAAACTTAATAAACAATTATGAAACCCTTGAAGAAAATTGAAGCAAGAATGATATAGCGAAAGTATCAATTTCACAGAATAAAACATAACCAAAGATCATAGAAAATTAGGTCACGAGATTGCTGCCACATTTGTCCGAAAATGGTTTCGGAGCCAGAGTACAGGGAGACTCCTGTTAAATTAATAAAGAAAACACTAAAAAACGGGATTTTATCGGCACAAATATGAAAAATTGTGACACTTATATCTACGTCCGACTTTTAAAAAATATTCAGTGGGAAAATTTTCTCAAAATCGGTCTCCCGCTAAAATCGGTACGACTGCTCCACCGACTGGCATTCCTATTTGCCACAGTAAATAGCTTACCGCGCGGTTCTTCGTTCAGGCATCTGACTATAAAAGCATGTGAGAGCACAGGGTGTGAATAAAATAGGTCTGGCGGCATTGGGATATTGAACTATAAGGCTTTAAAGTACGTTTTCAAAAATAACAATTTTATTTTCTTATCAAATGTTGAAATGTTGTAGTTCCTGAATCACGCATTCTTTTGACCGTTATTATCTTAGCATTTATCAATTAACAGCTTGACTATTTTTATCCGATTTTACAAATAAAATATGTGTTGAAAAGGGAATTTATAGATTTATAAAATTATGTATAACCACATATTAGGTGCATTCTACAAAAAAACACTCGCTTAATTGACGAAATATACACAAAGCAACAACACAAACTCGGCTATTTATCCGAGTTCAGCCAGGTCGGTTAAAAATACGCGACCTGAAGGATAGTGTTGTTAAGTGAAAAAACTGCTCTGTTGTGAATTGTTAATGGGAAAGTGGAGAGGGAAATTCTTGTTTCCTTATATACGTGACTTATATTTTAAATAAGTATACATATATATTACGCAAATCCCTCCCATAGTTACTCATATAAATTGGTTTTTGTATCTAAATCCCGTTAAACTAATCACATGTTTCTTGCCAGCTACCAACAGGGTTGCGCTTACAAAAAAATGCACCTATTGTTAGACTAAGATTGTTGGGATTTTCCCATTGGGTAAAATTTCGAATACCCACTTTTTTCTAATTTTTTTTAACTTTAACCATCGTTAATTTCGAAAATGTCTATGAAAGTTGCCAAATTTGTAGTTTTTGTCTGAACGTACATAGTGATACTTCACTTAATGCAATCTCATAAAAATTGTCGAAGTTAAGCAGTTTAAATAAAAATATGACCGTGAATTTATATGTGTGTATGTATGTACTTGAATTTGAAATTTTAAAATTTGTACATACAATGGCTCTTTAGCAATACAATTTTAGGAAAATGGACCCGGCACCGCCGCACGTTTAGTAGAGATGTAACTCAAAATTTACGTTTTTAGAGATTTCATTATCCAATTAATAAGCTTGATAAGGAGAATATGTTCAATCTAACAGATAACCAAACTTCTCAATCAGGCGAAGATACGTGTCTTTCCATCCGCCTTTTTTGTTTTCCAACTATATGAACTGATTAAACTTTGATTGCGTTTTCCCACAAAATGAAAACTTTGAAATAATTCCTTATATTATTAAACGTTCGATATATGTATGTGTATATTAAAAACTACCACATTTGGTATACACATTGTTCTTGGCATTCCTATGCACCATATTGAAAATTTTTTAAATCGGAAAGAAACCACTGCCCCTAAAATACCACTTACTTTCAATTTCTTAAAATTACCGTTACGTGGGTAGATCGCGAGGTTTTTGTCCGATTCCAAAAATTTTCAATATGGTGCTTAAGAACAATTTGTATACCAAATCTCGTCGAGCAATTTATTTATATACTAGGGTGTTCGATTATTCATCTTTTTTATAACCCGAGATATTCGGAGTATAACACTTAAAAAAAAAAACGGTACTGCATTTTCAAATTAAAAAAATACCGCAAAACCGGTTTTGTTTTACATATAACACTTACTGTTAGACAGAAATCTTTACCAAAATATGACTGCTTAAAATAGTTATAGCTTTAATTTGGAAATTGATATGGCAAAATAAGTTCGGAGAACTTTGGATGACATGTAAAAAAGAAAAAAAAAAAAATTGAAGAAATTCACTCAATCGGGTTCCCGGATCATAACAAGATTCGATTGTTTATAGGGAAAAGTTTGAGCATGTAGAACCGACTGTCTTGGGAATGAGAATACAACATACGCTCATACCGTCCAACAATACAAATATATTCGGCAACTCTCACCACTTGAATTCCATAATCGAATACCAAGGCCACCTATCGCAGTCGAAGAGCTCGAGTTGCTTCATTAAGCTCGCGATACTTTAAAACAACTAAATTCGGGATATTGTGGCAGATTAAAAAGTTCAGTCCAATTTGACTAAGATGCCCCAACGACACGAACCACCTCTTTATATGCTCACTAATATCAGCTCTTCTAACATTCCTCTCTTCATCTAGTCTTTTCCTGAGCCCCCTCCGATCTCGTCTTTTCCTGAAGGCAACATACAGTCGGATGCAGACAGTTATCGTAAATAAATGCACTTTTATATAGATACTACACATTTGGCAACTTTCATAGAAACTTTTGAAATAAAGGATGGTCAAAGTTGGAAAAATTAAGAAAAAATAGAGGTTTCCTTTTTGATTTTACCTGTTATCGTAAACCAAGACAAATTCAGAAGTATGTAGTACATATAAAAACAAGTAAGAAAGTCTAAGTTCGGGCGGAGCCGAACATTAAATACCCGGCGCACAGTGCTTCCCTTCCATATAAAATGTGAGCAAAAATAGAATTATGGACGGATTTAAATGAAAATTCGCTTCTTCCTCTTTTATATAACTTTCATACTTTCACTGTAAATGCAGTTTGAAGTTGAAAATTTTAGTTCTTGTGGCTTTCACATATGTAGGTATGCACATATATGTAATTCGTTCTATTTTCAAAAGTGAGTGCTCAAATGACAGGGCTTGGCCTGTAGATGTGCAATAGAGTTTTTATTTTTTAAAAGGGTTGCCACCTGTTACTAATTTTATTAAAATTATTTAATAAGTTAAATGATTTAGATATTGCAATATAGGTATCAATTGAACTAGTTTTAAAAACACTTTACCTCTAAATGGGTTGCCACAGGTTTAAAAAATCAAATAAGCTTTAATTAAGGGAATAAGGTAACTCAAATATGTATATCAATATCAGCATAAGACAAATGAAAAAATTTGACATATCTAGAAGAAATAAGTGGAGAGTAAAAACATTACTGAGTTAATTTAAGAGTTCAGTAATTTAAAAGGAATGTAATCAGGACAAATTACTGATTGGCAATGTATGTATATGTAATAAAACAACAAATACGATGGCGTAATCCTATGGTTTGACGTAATTATTATTTTAGTTTGACTAAATTCTACTTTACAAACAGGTGGCAACCCTATTACTAATATTTTTAAACTAAAACTTTCTTAAACCTCTTTCGTTTGACTCCCTTATGGTGATACCTATCTATTTCAATTACCTAATTCCTTTAATTCAAGTGGAATTTCATTTCACTCTCTGCATGTAGTTAATACACATTTCGATTGATACCCATCTCTTAATAATTCATTTAACTTATAAAAAAAATTTTATCTAATTTTCTAACAGGTGGCAACTCATTAAAAAAATAAACCTCCTATTGTCCACATGTCAAGCTTTTTAATCTGACACTTCATTTTTAAAAATGGAACGAATCGTGCAGACCACAAGGCACTGACAATAAATGAAAATATTATTTCATGCATTAGCGAAAAACGTATTACTTTAGAAAGTGCAAAAAATGAGCAGATTTTTATTTTTTCTTTCGAAAGCTAAAAGCTCGTACTATTTAACAAAATAATAAAAAATAACCTATTTTTACATATTTTTTTATTCATTCCACTAAAATTTAGCATTTTTTGAAATTTTGTTTAAAAAAATGGTTTCTTTGGAACACCGCAGGGACACCCTGTGTTTAATTTTATTCCAAAATTGTAATTCCTGTAATTCCCTATTATTTATATGGAAACAAGGAATATATTTTTCACATATTTTTCTGTGAAGAGCTTAC